TTTCTACCTAGAGGTCTGCGATTGCATCACGTTCTATACGCGCGCGCGCGTGTGTGTGTGTGTAATCTGGGATACATGTCGTTCGAACTTTGATTATACTTCTGAATATAAATTCAAATCATACTGATGATGGTAATCATAAATTCGGAACCATTAATTTGGAAAAACAGATGGTCTCAAGGAAGTATTGAGAATCGTACATAAATTCAGATGTACGAAGACTACCTTAACGAACACATTTTTTTTACTTACTAGTGATTTGTTCGGGTATTAGTAGTCCTCAAGGATAATTGACAATTACAATTATTTCAGAATTGCTTCGATTCTTTCAAAATTGAGCAACTCAATATTTCTGGCTGCATTATACGTTTTGAAATCTGGTATTAAAAGGGTTAGTTTCTCCTCAAAGTCTACTTAACAATTTCTAAATCCGCATGATTCATGATTAAGATCCCGTCAATTACCAAGGACTTAAAAATAACTATATATACATACAATGATAAACGGTCACGTCTTTGCGAGTTACGGATTTGGAAATGGTCACGTTTCCTCAATTAAACTTGCTAAGAATGCAACTTCCGTTCCGAGTTTGCCTGCCTTCAAAGGGATTATAATGGTACCTAAACGTCTAAACGACGGATCTGAGACCTGAGACCCATCGCAAACAAACGGTATACAGGACTGTTATCTGTCCCCGATACTAATCCTTAGGAACAGGAACTTAACCGCGGAAGTCTCCGTTCAGTATATGGCTACGTTTCCGGTGATATGGACTACCTTATCGGTCACTCCGGAAGTTTTTTTTTACTGAGTATTTAGGTTTGTGAAGGTGGTTCCCTTAATACTCCAGTTTTTCAGAGAACATTATCAAATTAAAATATGTAGTGTAGACTTTCGAAAATGACTTCGTATATTTTTTTTACCTAGATTACCGCATCAATTTTTAAACTCATACATTCGATACTAAGATATACGTATGTACTCGTATATAGATTGACGATTTCTCTAAAAGCGATTTTCGTTTAACAAACGATAGCGCGTGACCTCGTTGACGATATACAAATTGCAAAACCGCGGAGTATTGCGTCTCCTTATCTGTTAATAGCAAGATAGTTGCAGGATGTTCATGAAAAATGTGATCATTCTATCACCCGGGAATGTTGCCTCACGATCAGGTTTTCGAGAAAAAAATTCGTCGATAAGATGATAACTTTGCGTCTTCTACCGGGAGACAAAGGAAAATGTGTATGTACTTACTTATTGGAGCAAAGTAAACGAAAATCTTTTTACGCCTTATCTGTTGATCCTTCGGAAGATGAGACAACGTGTTGTAACATGGCTTTTGATTTGTCGCAACTACAATTGCGACTTATACGTTTGCTCTATCGTCTGAAGTGGACATACTGGTATGTACTTCAGAGTATCAATATGTTCGATTGCTTAGCCTATTTGGGGTCAATGACTCCTTAATGCATATTGCTATATTTGAAACTATCTTTGGAAATTAAGTAAGATAGCTCTTAATTTCTCAATCACTATACTAACTTAATCCTTCATTATATTGGATTGAATTTAGTTCTTCTGCCATTAAGTAAATAGACATCTTAATATTGTAGATTCGAGTTAGCATCGTGTCTTCTTTCATTGATAGATTAAATTGATAATGGATGAAGTAGAAAATTAATAATAACAAAAATAAATTTCGATGAATATTTTAGTAATAATACAGTGTAATTACTCTTTATGTGTCTACTGTTTGTTGCGTTTTCACAAAATACCCAATCAGCAAACAGGGGAATTTTGGAAAAGCCGATTAGCGTGCAGATCAAAGAGAACACGTAGTACGATTATGCTCGGGCGGCAGCATTACCTCCGTCGAACAGCTGCATCTTTGTGAGGAATCAAAGGACAGGCGGACCTCGAAACCTCGTGAACGACCTCGCTCGAGGTGGATTGCGACATTCGACAATGAAACCGACGTCCATTCACTGTAACATCCGTGGACTTTGAAGCGGGGACACTTACGGAATATACCTAAGCTAAGATTAGCTGTTCCATGTTCTCGTTTCGGACTTGATCCTTCTGTCGAGTTCACCTTATTTTTAACAACAGAACAGAAGTGTCTACATTGTTCGGAATTATCATTCTGTACTTCCGGGTTAAACGGGATTAATCGTGTTTGCTTTCGGAAATACAAGATGCAGCAAAAGAAGATTGCACTTATTGATTCAAATGTGAGTGGACGAGTCAAAATTTAAAGAAAGATGCCTTTCAATATTTTTCTATTGGTTGATTCTGGTACTGTTTCTCTAAATAACTTTTCTCATACGATAGAAAAAATGAATTTTTCAATTGACGTCTGATTTATTTTTAAAAAATGCGTTTCTAAAGTGCATAAACTTTTGGGATTGACTGTACAGGAGAAATCCATCGTGTTTTAAAACGAAAGATTATAGAACAGTGGTGGTCAAATATTGTCACAGTACAATATAGCGTCTATTATATTAAAGCTAATGTTATAGGACGATACAGTGATACGAAAATAAAACAGTTCAAGTTTTTCCGACTATGCTAGAAGGGAGATGTTTTTGTTCGTGCCCCTGTAACTTACAATCAGGATAACTGATTATAACTTAGTAAGTGCCAATGAATTCGTCACGGGTATTTTTTGAAGCGTACCAAACGTTGGAAAAACGAAGTGGCAGAATATACAATCGGATAAAAATATTAATATGTAAATATCTGTGGAATGCGGAAGACACATACATATACATATACACCATTTTTTGTTTTTATCTTTTCGTAGTAGGGATTTTTATCAATCAGTTTCAAAAGATTGATTTACATCTATTTGTCGTGCAACGTGCGCATAGTAGACTAGCGGATCCAAGTATGTATTCGTGACACGAATTCGCGTGGTACGAATTCGCTGGTATATCCGGAATGGCGTTTCGCGAAACGGCCTACGCATCTTGCAAACGTGGAGGAATACCGGTCTAAAGTCCGGGATTGGGAGCCTGACGAAAAATTCTGGAACCGGTTCGCAGGTATTTTCACTCGTGTCCAGGGCATACACGAGTAACGATAAATAGTCGAAGGAAGAAGCTAGCAAGGAATAAGTACAACAATAAGTACGACGCGACGCCTGTTCTCCCAGCGATGGGAACGAGGACGTTCCGAATTGATACTCTGCTTTTTTTGCCAAAGATAATTAATATTACCGATAAGATAGAATCTCTTAAGTATTTGGTAAACAAAATTATAAGGAAATTCTCCTCTTTATGTGAAATTTAACATTTATATCAGAGAATATATAAGATGTCTCAGAATGTACGACTTTCCTCTAAACGTGTCAAAGAGGATGAAATTCCGAATCAAAAGTTCCTCTTCTATTTTTGCTTCCAACTGCTATTAATAAAATAAAATATAAAAAAGCGAACGAAGTGGGCCAATGACGTTATTCATAAAAATGTCTCTTCTTAGTAAGTTTTCTAAGGATCCCACGTTGAACGGTTCATTTTTTAAGTTAAATACCTCGACTTTTAATATCGTAATGAGTATTCAGTTTTCGAGCAAATATAAAGGACATTTAAATTAACACTTGTAACTCTTAAAAAAAATTTAAGGAAACTGTCTTTAAGTCTTCACCGCTAGGAATCATCCTACGGTGTAAAAGAAGATAACCTCGAGGTGAAGTCCCCGAAACGGTCACGATGTGAGCGAAGGATCTTCGGGAAAGGATGCGCTGATCCTCCTACGCGTAAATGGGGTTCATGAACGACGGAAAGGCGGGACCGAGATAAGATCCAAAGATATCTCCAGCTTCATTCCACGATGGATGCGCCGTGGTTTCCACTTATCGATCCCGGAACCGCGAGCCGTCTCGTACAATACACGGTTTCTTGCAATCACGCTTTCTCCCGTGGACTTTCGGGAAAAGCCGATCGCTTATCCCGCAGGAGATCTTTGACCTTTTCGCATCGAGGGGGACGTGCTTTCTCTATCTCTCGAGCTCGATAAAATGGCCGATCGATCATTTTTCGTAATTCGCCTGTGCACGTTGATCTCCTCCCGATATTTCACGGGTCATTGTGAAATCTTTTGCAAACAGTGTTGTGTTACATTGCTGATTGTTTTGCAACCGCCTGACAGATATACATACATATATGCATAAGACTAAAACCGAATCAGTGAATAGCTACATAAATTATCTGTAACAAAGATCTCCGAAATATACAAGTAAATGGTTGTCTGGTTGCATCACTAGTTGCGGATCACACTGTATAACTAGAGTGTAATGATACATCGTAATATTATACGAAACATCTTTAAATATCTGTATCATTAAGCTTATTTTTTTCTTCAAGGATTTCGTGGAACTCCCTAACGATACAAATATGTATAATAGTTCCACGGGATGCTTTACATACTTCGGAGCAGATGGATTCTTTAAACTCCTTTCGAGACCGAAAATAATGTGCCACGTGCGCATCGGTGGCACACGTTTCCATGGGGTTGCGGTTAAATCGAAATGAAACGAGCTAGATCCCTCGTCCGCTTTTCTCGCTCGTCAGTATCCTCCTCCTCGTCCGGTTCCCTTTGTACAGCTGCTCCGTGCAACGGAAAGTAGGGAATCTAACCGGGCAGGATGCGCGTATCCTTTCGAAAATCCGTTTGGATGCGAAACGTGCCTCTTCTATCCCCCTTGTGTATTTTTGACGGATAGTATTATTGCTTCGGGATCGAATAGATCCAATATACAGTGACATCTATAAATATTCGCATACATCTCAAACCCGAATAGCTTTTTTAATATTGGATTTCACGAATTAATTTTTTTTAGATGTTAGAGAGATTAGTTTATTATATGACGTATAACAAAAAGTTTGCTATAGATCGAATTTGCGAAGAAGATAGTAAAGGGTACAATATTTAAAGTTCTTGATTAGTGCTTTTTTAGTAATGAATCTTCAATTACACTTGGGATACTGAAATTATCTAATCATTTAAGAATGTGTAAAAGTAATTGATATGTTGACTTGAACAAAGTACATGATAAACTACAGAAATTATAATAAATCTGTCGTGTTTCATGACATTTTGTATGCATCAATAATAATGAATGTTTGTAATTATCCCGTAAAGATTAAATCCCGTTGCACTGAATGTTATCCGGAAAGTATTATATCATTTTATAATTCCAGTCTAGAAGTTTTCATCTTCCAGTTTTAGTTTGAGTCATAAAGGCATGGAGTGTCGATTTCATAGCGAATTCCCGTTCCGAAAATCCCCTTTTCCCAGTTCTACTGCATCGTGAAATCCCGCTGGAAAAGTCCCAACGCGACTCACGGGCCGCTGATAAATCTACAATTCATTATTGCTACGTAAACTTTCCATCGTAACGGGGTATGATTTCATGCAGGATCATTCTTACGTAAATTCCGACTGTTTCAGTGACACTGTAACGCGTCTCTGTGACGTTCCCTCCACCTCTACCACCTCTATTCGATCGTTACACTCGTACCACGTGTAAACTGTTGCTCAGTTATGCCCCACTGATTCCATAGGCAACAATAAGCATCATTTTATCGTGAGCAAGTGAACACACCTATCACGATTTTATCGCTAATAGCCAATGCGATTGCATTAGATTACAGTTTTGAAAAAAGGTACCTACGAACGGGGAAAAATGAGAAACCGAAAGAAGAAAGGAAAAGATCGGATCAATACCGATCACGTGCTCGCCCGGGGAGGAATGACTTCGTCCAATCGATTTGTTAATCATTGATGCAGGTATATCGATACGTGTGTACGTATACATACAGTGAAGTCCATAGATATTCGCACACGTTTCAAAATTGAATAACTTTTTTAATATTGCATCTAACGAACTAATTTCTTTTGTAAATGTTAGAGAGATTAGTTTATTATATGATGCATAACAAAAAATTAAAAAAAACTGCTGTAGGTCCGACTTACGAAGAAAGAAGTAATGGACACAAATTTCAAAACACGCTTTTTGTACAGCGAAAGGATTGAAGGAAATTCTTCCTAGATTTAATTTTATAGAAAATATAACAAATGCATCAAGGATAGCAATGATTTGTGCACCAATCTAATATTGTTTATGGAACTGCTAAACTAAAGAAAAGTTTTCTTTGAACAAATGCTCTATCTTTGTAATAGTTAATTGCAACCTATTGCATCCCGTTGGCGCCAGTATAGTACCAAATTTAGCTTGTTATATATATTCTGCCAACGAATCACAAAAGGTTTCTTATCTCACTTAAATGACTATTTAACATGATGAGCAACATGATTTATTATATTATTTAAGTTTTATGCTAGTGACGTGCTTTCTCGAACTACCGCAAGAGTAACACTTAAAATATTCACAACCTTTAACTATCTTTAACTCGCGTGACTCACACCCATCTTACCAAATCGAAATCGAACAATGAACTGTGACTTATGCTATCGTTAAATCAGGATATTTACAATCGAAACAAAGCTGAAACTGCCAGAAAATGATGGAGGTAAGATAATTCTACGTTGGCTAGAATCCAGTGTTTAATGACTGCTGCGGACAAAGTGGAACCGAGGAACAGCGCGTTTCAAAGTCAGCAGACCGATATTGCCGGTAGTCTGGCCAGTAGAGTAGGTACTGACAATGAATGCTCGATTCGTTGATTTTCGAGGACACTACTCTCGACAGAACGAGCGAAACGACAGTCATGAGAGAATGCCGACCTCGGCTCGAGGTTCGCATTGCCGTGTGTTTCGCAGCACAGTCCCCACCGCTTCAGGAACACGAGTCTATGCAACCGTTTAAATATACAGTAGCTGTAAAAAGTATTGGCGCGCCGCTGCGTTTTTTCAGTATTTAAATACATGATTAACTAGATTCAAGGGTGTTGAGTTTCCTGTAAATTAATATGTATCGTGTTTAGTGTGGAATTAACATTAGAGAGCGTCTCGTCGAAAGCCATAATCACGTGCCAATGCTTTTTGTGGCCACAGTGTATTACGTCAAGTAAGTACAACACTTTTTACACTTATATACGTACGCGCAACAAGTGTAAGTAGAAAATCTGATCAGTTAGTCGCGGTCCCTCTTCTATAATTATTGAGCAACCTCGTAATATCGGTAAGGAAGGTTTGTTGTCATTGTAAAATGACTTTACGGTCAATTTTGAGATCTAGGACATTTTTTATCAGTTTCAATGAGAACTATTTTTTTTAGATAAGTCTGTACGTATACATGTTCTTAACGTAACCGCACGCGCGCAACCAAGCGAGCGGACAGGCGCGTAATTGCATCGGCGGCTTCGTAACACTTTTTAACAAGCGGGCACGTGTATAGAAGAGTGTCAACCTCTATAGCGCCAATTACGATTCAGAAAAGAACATTTTCACAGTCAAATGTTTGGTATTATTGTTTACGTAAAAACAAATTATTGGATCAGAGTTCATATTTCAGAGGGTCATGTATTACAAAAATGCTATTTTTACATTTGGAACGTTAATTTTTTTACTTTTAATAATGTTCTATTCGTTACTTACACAATGCTAAATCTTTCTCCGTTCTTTTTTCGATCAATTCCGCAATATCAGAATATGCAAACGAGTTCCAAAGTATCTTTATATCGGTGGGACTGGTCTCCGATTACACTATCGCCGTTAAAAGGTGTTCCTCAAACGTGACTATAAAGCACACCCAAGCAAAGGGTTCGCCAACGTATTTTCTTTCGAAATGCTCAAACACATACCGGAAGCGGCATGCTGCAATCGTCTCTTAGGTAGTATCGTATCGTACGCTCATTCATTCCCGCATTGAACTTGGCTAGCCTGGCAGGTTTTACCTGGCCGAACGAAGGCCAGAAGGAGAGGCGACCAAGAGGCAAAAAGAGCGAACGAGAGGAGCGGAGGATTGGTAAATCATGCGTTATTGAAGACGTTCAATCCTCCGATTGTCCTCGAATATAAACTACCTCACTCGTGAAAATTCTATTTCGAGATCGAATCGAAAAAAAGAACTGTAACTGCTCCAACGGTTTACACATATTTTTATCACCTACCTACGCTTTTCATCTGCTATTCAGCAGTTTCTCATTCGCTCCTGTTACGTAGTTTTGAACAGCAAGAAATTTAATTTGTTTCACGTTACTCGATTTGGTCGCCGAGCCAGGTTTACCTTGAACGTTATTAATTTTGCCAGACGAAAGAATATTGGCCGTGTTCATTCAGGAACGTGAGACGAGACGCGATTTTGACGCGAGTTTCGCACGAACTCGCTGTCGCAACACGCTGATGCAACCGGACGAGTAGAACAAAAATATGAATAACTGTTATCACAGTATATATGTTTCATTGATTATTGCGAAACCGTATACGCTAGCTCGCAGTCGCTCGTATTATTGGATAAAGTACGATATGACGCATTCGTCAGAATAAAGTCTATCATAAGTGATATAGCGGACAGCAGGAGGATACATGGAACATAAAATCTTAGCTCCGGGCCTTGATTACTTTCTGAGATATTAATAAATAAAAATTGCAATACCAATAAAATGCGGCATTCTGCGAATGCAGTGCTTGAAATTGCAATGATGGAATCTTTGTTGGTGTAATGTAAAATGGGATGCCCTATGCCTTATGAATATTCAGACCGATATAGCTGTTATTGATAGTAGATGATCACTACAGCGATGACTTGTATTAATAACATCTAAATTTTTAATTCTAATCAGACCGCATTCAATGCACAAATCACATCTGTGTATACATATAGTGGTAAAATACTTATTAGTATGTGACAAATAATAGCATATTTCGGATTCTATTCCCCTTCCTCCCAAATCTCCCTTCCGGCTCATTTATGTTGAATGGGTCATACAATACTACAGACGTGTTATCTAATATTATCTCAATGCTCTTTCTTATATCGTGGAAATAACAAAGATACTTTTGATTTGTCTAGGAAATCAATTGATTCGCGTACAGAGTTTTCGCACAACGTATTAATAGAAATATGTACTGATAATGAAAGGAGACATTTGCTTGAATTAATTGTCAGAAAATTTTAGAATCAGATCAGATTGTGGCGAAATAGAATTTTCAACTAGCACAATGATGAAAAACGTACGATCTCCGACAGGAGGCGAGAGAAACGATGGATTTTATGGATCTCGTTATCACGGTCGTTTCTCAATCGGTCAGCTCGCGGTGTGGCACGTGAGGAAATCGAGCCAATCCCTGGTCGTCGTTTCACGAAGCAACTCTCGGTTCTTTCGCAACCAGCCAAGGATCGGCACACCACTCCGCATGATAAAGCATCATCCCACCTTTTTTCTACGTCATCGACCTTCGTCTCCCCAGGCGCACAGGTTGAATTTGGCCGACCAGGACAGCGTCACCGTGTTCTTTGCAATATCGATTTCGAGGTCGAGCCGATCTTACGTTTCTAAACCGAGCTAACGAACTCTTGCTTCATCGCACGAGTCACAGGGTCATGATTGTGGATTGGATAATGGTAGATGAAGAGCTTGAAAGGAGCGAAGCGTCCTTTATGCCTTGGAGTAAGAATGCACAATGCAAAGAGGAGAATTTTTGAAGTATTAGACAATATGATTAAACCAGAATTTTTGCAATTAATAAAATAAGATTACAGAATGGACTTATCGCTCGTAAAGAGTGCAAAATGCATTGATTGTTTAATTAGTAAACTAATCCACCTAAACTACTACAAAAACTCGTTTGGTCCGATTTTAGAAAAGTTATTCAATTTTAAATAGTGTATGTTCAGTTTTACTCTTAACTGTATGTAATACTAATGAGAATGATATCCACTGTTTCTAAAGACCAAATCTAAATGTGTTTAAGTAATCACTTAATAAAAAAAATGGATAAGGTTGTCAGATTTTTAATGAATTCAAGAAATCTGGTTGTGCAATTAGATAAAACAAACTTAACTTAATAACACATACAAAGAAGTCTTGCAAGTTTAAAGAATCGATGAGAAAATGATCTCCATACGAATCAATGAGAAGGATTTCAAGCCGATCTTGACATCGTACGAGGTTTTTCTCGTGGCTTCAAACACAAGCTCGATAAATTGAATTCGCGACGTATCCTTGTCGGAATGACCCAGTTACACGGTTGAACCCCTTGGAATTGTATGTACGAGAATTTATTGAGTACGACTGAAGGCCATTGAGAGAATCTGTACTGACAGTAGAGATAGTAGTCGATATCGACGTCAATATGAAGTACCTTATGTTCGAATGTATTCTCAGTAATAGGGTTACACTAGATGTGCCAAGCTACAGTGATGTCCATAAATATTCGTGCACATCTTTTTTCACGCAAGACCAGTTACGAACTGGTAGAGACGAGCATAACACTTCCCAAGAAGATACGTACTTTGATTCGTTAAGTAACAAACGTGTACGTAAAAACATGTAATGCTTTCCCCTAGTGAAGAACCTAATGTGTCTTCCTCCACGATCCAGTTTTACTCGTTCTTCCTGTGGACCGTGGGACTTTCAACGGCGAATTAGAGACGAACCGGATGCAATGTACGTTTCGCTGCCGTAGCGCGCAGCCACGGAAATTGCAATCGCGTACGGGACTTCTTGCTTCTGTCATCATGTTTTACATTGTTGTAAATTACACTTTCCAAGATTCACGTTCAACGGATTGTTAGACTTCTCTTGCAAGCATTAAAAACAATGATATTCATTTTTCCATTCGATTAGCTTAATTCAAGGAACCGATAGTTTCATAAAAGCGAGTATTATTTTTCAACCGGATTTTCCTACAGTTCATTTTTATACAATGCACGGGATTTCTAAATTACGTGGAATCTGTTCTACGAATTCATATAAACATGCTTACCAAACAAAAATATTGATAAAACTGTAAACTCATTATAAGTAGATATAAGAGAATTTAATATATCTCTGTAATAAGATCTTAAGTATATGTCTCTTGAACGAGAAAACGGTCTGCCAAGCTGTATTAGAATTATTGACACGGAAACGGAAACGTTCTAGAAACCGCGACACTGAAGTGAATCCTCATTACCGCAATTCGGTTTACATAAAACGGATAATAAATCTAGCGTAGTACATGTTTGTAAAACGGAATAGGTATTCTTCCAAGAGATAGCTAAAAACAGATGAACGTAGATAATGTAGAAATTGAAAATAGACATGCCTTTCTTATTTCCTGTATATTTAAACAAATTAATTTCGTAGATACTTTTTTTTGTTATAGGCTGTAAAATAATATAATAACTTCTCAATTTGCTAAATTTGTTGTTTGGGATGAAATATTCGTTAAATACACAGGCGCGAAATATGCTTCAACTACTTACTGGACGTACGTTGGCATTGAATAAACTCGCTATGAAAATGTAAATTACAAATTAGCATAAGACTTCACTCATAAATGATAAATTTACGATAACTTTGTTTCGTGACGGTTTCATTTTGAAGGCTGATTTTATAATTACGGTTTTTTTCGCAATCATTATTACAATTCAATAGAAATTACTCTTTCATTTTCAAGAAGGTTATCAGTATTAAGTAATACATAAAATTCTATTGACTTTAAACGTCATACTCCTGTATATCGTATGGACGTAGAGGAATATTGAGGTTTCAGTTCCGTGTAGAGAACAATGAAGTCGAAAATACCGGCGTTATCGATTTCGCGAGAAATTGCGTCAGATTACAGCGCAGCACCAGTCACGGAAATGATAAGCGGCGTGCTCGTAAACGTGCGAGAACATTCCCACGTTTCCAATAATAATTCGTAATTGACTATGTCGGAAGAGGACTTGTGCCGGATTATAGTGGCCGGCAATAAGCACAAAAGGACGAGCAGAAGCGGCTGAGCAAACAGATTTCAAACCATACCCGGCTCGACTGAATTAGAATTCCTCAGTTCTTATTCCGGATATGACGGTGCCACTTATAAGACGCACTTCCGTCGCAATCGTACGACACATCATACGATATTTCCCTTGAATAGCATTCCTTGTCCAATATACTCTGTGTACACTCTATCAAACTAGCCGATTTTAATGCTGTTGTAGATAAATTTTCTGTATGCATCATAACTAAAATTACAATTCCAATTATTTTATCCGTCTTCGAGAAAATAATTCATAGATTGAAATATGCTCCAAAATAAGTCAAACAAAATCTGGTTTTTCCAAATCTGTTAAGATGTTCCAATATATTTGTGACCAATTGTATATCTGGAGGGAATCGACAAGGAAAGCTCTAATCCCCGAGATAAATTCAGAACAGCGAGGTCTTTGAGACTTTCAAAAGCGGTGAAACTCAAACACGACTTCATTCGTGTTTGCGGAGAATCCCCGGGAAATTGGTTCGAACACGTACACCACGTGCGATCTACGTCAATTTTCGTTGCCATTCAATATAAGAAGCGTGTGTAAGTATTAATTGTCCTGCCGTTTCCTCTCGCTGTGATTTCCACCGGTTTAGAAACGCCTCGCCGCTGGCTCCTTTTGTCGCCTTCGTAGTTTGCCGTCGTTTTGTGCCCGATACGAAAATCCGGAAAAAGCGGATTTCCACGGCTTGGAAAACGACAGCGATCAATGTGCCGGATGCGAGAGGGGATCGCCTTACGACCAACTTCCGGGGACGTTGAACGCCTACCTGACCGGAGATTCAACGGGATATTTTCGGGGGAGGAAAGGAAAGGGATAAAAGGGAGAAATGAACAAGCCGGCTGTCCTACTCGCCCCATTCGCATTAAGTTGCGAGGCGCCGGAGAAATATTTACCCTTCTAGTGGACAGCTCTTATGTCGTACGACAATTTCTAATACTTCGTTTCAAGTCCACGTAAATTTGTTTTTACTTTGTATTTTTTAAAATTCCAACAAACTCGAAGCTTGTGGAATATCATCCAACAGTTTTTATCACAAACTTTTTAACATTACATAACTACTAAGAGTTTAACTACTAGTAAGAGTTAATTTGTGTTCGCGAGTGGTTAGCTTTTTCATTCAAGGAAAAGCATTTTTTATGTATTATTCTATTTTGAACAAAGACAGCTCGTTGAAATAGTAATTTTTAAAACGATAACTTTTCAAAGAATGAAATGAACTTTAACAATCATTGGTCTTTCCCGAAATCAATTAAGAAAATTGTTTTATTACTTTTTCTAGCAAATTCTAATTACACTGACACATTTGTTTACGACATTGGGCACAATGACGTGATCTTACGAAGAACATAAGTCAGGGAATGTTGTAGAATACATTACCTCAAAGCGTTACACGTTTCGGAATTGAAGATGACGATAGCACTGATGACTAATCATAGTAACTGCATCATCAAACAGAACTATTTACGGGTTCGTTGTCCTTCGATTCTGAAAATTATCTACTTATAAGGCTGTTACGGAAGTTATACGCGTCGATAAATATTTAAGTCTATGGAGCAGAGAACTTCTGATGTAATTTGATAGAACGTTGTACAAACAATATTGAACTTCACAAAAACTATGTCAATGAGTTTCTTTTAATGAAACTGAGCATTTACAACTGGGTTATTCAATCGCGACCTTCAGGCTATCATTGAGTAACCTCTTGAATGATGTATGCGACAATAATGAATAAAACTAACTGTTTACGTACCCGTCACATCATTTTGATTAAACTTTTTAATTAAAGTCTGTGTTACAACATCAGCGAATATCCGTTTTATATCATGGTTAGCAAGTGCGTTCAATATGCAATGTCAATGAAAATTGTGAGTTAACGAACTTCATTTTTAAAAGAACAATTTTTTTTTAAATTGGTCGATTTGATGTATTTTAAAAAATTATGGTGATTGCTGTACTAAACGATGTATAAAAAAATGTGAAGAAAATGCATTTGGAGCTACGTAAAATCCGAATCATTTTATGGATAAAGTCATGATTTAGCAGATTAGAGAATATTTTTCAATGTACTTTATACTATTAGTATTGTTTATGAATTATTTTGCTGTTCAATTGTGTACCGATCATGTGAGATTCGTACGAATTAGCAAAGCAAACGAATTTGTGATATCTTTTATTGCATACTTTGGCGAACGACACAATATATTTAACTTGGCGCATTCCCGGACGTTATGGAAAACAGCACGAAGCGGATGATTATTAGCAAATATCGACTCTGAATGAGCACGTTTGACTTCTGTTCGAATTGCCAAATCGGCTTCAAGCCACTTATGGTGTATTATTGCCAAATCTCTTTGAGTCGAATACACGCATATGACGGAGAGAGTATCTACCATAGTATACTTTCCGTCCGAATATTAATCCCAGTAACTGTATAACACATTCATCTTAAAATACTTGAAAATACCCTCAAGAGAAAAAACAAGAGTGCATCTCCACAAAAAATGTAACAGAATACGTTAACGTAGATAGGTATAAGATATTTTTTCCTCGAGTGCCTCTGCGGAGAAAGACAGGAACATGAATGACGACAACGATCTGAAAAGAGGCATTTTGCCATTCATTAGACCCTGGAAATTCTATCCCGTGGTGTTCGCGTGGAATACTTTTTCTGATATTCGGTCACTGGTGCGGTCTGTCGTGGGCAAGCGGAGAAAAGCATGGCATGTGTAGTCGATACTCCCTAGCAGCTTGCCTGCTCTAAGGTATCCATCGTATAATCCTACATGGTTATCTCGTGCTTCGTGCCTCTGCATCAGGCTGCAGGGCACATCTGCCGTGTACGTATCGAAGAAAGAGGAAATTGCCACGAAAAGGCTCGTGGAGAATGGACCTTGTGTTCGTGGATCGGTGCTCGGCTAACACCTGCCTCCGTAAGTTATTCCGTTCCTACTTTTCTCTCTTTCTTTCCTACTTTCACTTTCTTTGTTGAATACCTCGTGGCATCGATCGCAGCCCGAAGAGTAGTAAAAAAGAGACGAAGGAGCAAGGCTCGTGCTATTTCAGACCCTTCAGTTACCTGAGCTCTGTAGATTTTATGGTCACCTTTCGACTCTCCCGAAATTTACGCTCAGAAATTTCTTGCAAATATTGAAATCTCGAACAATTTACGAACGGGACTACTGTTATTTTTTATTTACTACATTTCCTAGAATATTATTCTGTGTAGCAGAATTGTTCGAAGTAACAATACAGTGTAGCACGAAAGTGAGTTTCTCCGCGATTGGCAAGACAATGCATCATCGATTTCTCGCTGCAGGCCTTCCTCGTGGCCGAGCACGAGTATGAAACGATCGAAGGCTACATTTATTTGGGTCGTGGACATCGGCGAATTATCTCTACGATCCTTCCGCTCTTACAACGTCTGCGACCCCCATTCTCTCCACACTCTCCATTATCAATCTTTTATCGTGTATTTATAGACGCTTTGCAGTTAGTGATACATGTATACGTTGTTTCTACCGATGCTTGAAAACTTTTTAACCGTCTACTGTTTGGACGGTGGCAACGTTTACACGCCACATTAATCGCTTATCATAAGTGAACTAAATATTGTTGTTAGTCGTTAAGGAAATGAGATTTTAATACAACTGACATTGATCGTTGTACTAATCAAAGTGTAGGGTGTTTAAAGTTTGTGCTAGAAAGCGCTAGAACTACAGACCTTATGTTTTACATAGTTCTTCCATTTCAAATGACGAGATTTGAAGTGTTCTATAATTATAGGACACTTCAATTAATTAGGACATTTCGATTAATTGCATCAGTGACTTACGGTATTTCAGGTTTCCCGAAATGTCGAGAAAACAAGCGGAATCGTCGTCCAAGGAAAGGCAGGAAGGTAAGACGGATCCGGGTGCTAGCAGACACGGGAACTTCATAAATTATTACCAATTCCATCCTGCGGAAGAACGCGTGCGGCAACTTCCGTGTGGCGTGTGGCGGTCGTCCCATCCGGACCGGAAATACGTAGTCCTAGACATCGGCTGCAACGCCGGGGTAAGGCTGAAACAGCTGTCAGACGGAGTAGGATGAGTCAACCGTGATCCGTAATTACAAACGTCGTTTAAGTTTAGAAACCGTTATTATTTTCTTTTCAATAATAATATCGAATTTTCTTATTCTAGTTTTAAGTCGTTCCTAGCCGATCCTATTATATCGATAAATAAGAAATACTGTAATTAGGAATTTCTCTCACTGTATTGGATAAAACTTGTACATACATTCGAAACATTCAGCGAAAATAATTGTTAAAAATCCTTATTCGGGTAAGTAGTTGTATAAAAATTGGAAATTGTATTTAATGATTCCAGGACTTGACATTCGCGTTGCACGATTTCCTCGAGAGCGCCTTATCGGTCGATCAACCGAAGGAGATCTGCTTGCTCGGCGTGGACCTCGATCCGATCTTAATCGAGCGGGCACGGGAACGCAATCGGCGGCCGGATCGTATTATTTTCGAGTGTCTGGATTTTCTGGACGAAGACCGTAACCGGACACTAGCCAAATACCTTCGTCGATTCGAGAAGTCACGCTTCGACGTCGTGTTTTGTTTTTCTGTTGTAATGTGGATTCATTTGAATCACGGGGACGAAGGATTGGTTAAATTTTTACAAAAGGTTTGCTCCATAACGGATATGGTCGTGGTCGAGCCACAGCTTTGGAAGTGTTACAGAAACGCCTCCAGAAGACTGAGACGATTGAAAGGCGAGGAGTTTCCTTTGTTAAAGACGTTGAAGTTTACCGGCGATCTGACAATGCACATCGAACGGATATTGACAGAATCTTGTAATTTTCGAAAAGTCACTGTTACCGGGGAAAATGAGTGGAAACGGAGGCTATTAATTTATGAGAGGACGTGAGCAATCGCTCTCGAGATTGATGAGTTTCCGTATAACGTCAAATGAAGGAACTACTATTTTCCTTTTGTACAGTCACTGATATTGGCAAAAATAATATTATATGTGTATGTATTGCCTTTTATATCGTAAGGTGCATTTGTAGAAGTTTATTGTACTACAAATAAACAGAAAAGTTCGATGACCGACAGTAGTACTGAAGATTCTTAGGCGATGCATTAAATAATCCCGTATGCATTTTATAACTACATTTGTTGCATTGATATGATAATAAATTAATTACACAAGTATTACAGCGTATATGTATAATGTACGAATAGACATATGTATACGGATCTTTATATAGTTCTACATGTAATGTGCTTTGGTAAAAAATGTCGAGGAAAGAGCTCAAACTTGAGTCACATGAGTGCATTGTTAGCCTTATGGTTTAATGAGCAAATAGAATTAAAGTAAGTATAACAAGGACAAGATATAATTATTTAAATACAGGGACTCTGAGAACGACGCGAGATGGCAATACCGTGCGTGCGTTTGTTCGGCTGATGGCGAAGTGTAGACAGAATAAAGTGACATGAACTCTGCGAGTAAGGTAAGGCAAAAGGCGAGCTATGTCGCCGATTTTAGGCAGTTTCCCGCCATATAACACTTAACGGTCGTTCTCCCCCACCGCTCGTCTTTCTTTTTCTACGTGAGTCACGTGCATTTACCCTCGAATATTCCTAGCAATGGAGTCTGTGAGTGGACATAAGGTTAGGTTATGATCAATGCTGCAAAAAATTGCTTTTTTCTTTTTTTATTACAGTTTTTGTTTTTGTTAATCTCTTTGATTGTAAGAAAATGTATCTGTACGGAACGGAGGATACCAGTGATCAGTGAAATGTTTGGATGATCATAACAATTTATGTTACACTGTTTTAGGTTGGTGAAATTTTCACCGCAGCCGGAGCAGCATTCAACAAACTAGGAGAATTAACTATGCAGTTGCATCCCACAACAGATTCACCAGCAGGGTAATTAAAATTATTATCATCATTATTTTTCGTTCGTAAATAAGTGCTACACGTTTGTCGCTTTTGTCCAAGCTCACATGACATTATATACAAACGTTAGAGAAACGCGGGAGAATATCACGTGGTAATGTTTACTGACCAATGAGAAACGTAGCGCTATTATCTTATTTAATTTCTCGAAGTATAAATTATTTGAGTTAGACGCTATAAATCAAACAAATCTTTTTTTATTTAAAACACGAAAATAAATATTATAAACGTAAATGCATGTAAATTTTACAATTTTACCGAATATTATCTACAATTAACAAAAAATAATTATCTGCAAAAATATTGATATTCGCTTTGCTATAGAAAATAAATCGCTAGCTGTGAATTTACATAACTCTTTGTGTCGCATAATCTATAGTAAATGGACTGACGAGGAAATTGAGATGCTCCGTCACTCGGTAAAGACTTTCAGTGAAGACTTGAACAAAATAAGTGAACACATCAAGGGGCGAACGGTGTAAGTTAACAAAAAAGGCTGCATCGAGCCCACGGTTGTTCCTCAATTTCGCTGCGTCAGTTTCGATCAAAAATTAATCCACTAATTTCGCTTTATAGCTCGCAAATTCGAACGACATTGAAGAAGAAAGCCTTTGAAGAGGCTGGTGTGCCTATGAGGCAACAAATGCTTTCTCAACAGACGCAACAATCTTCAGTCATACAGCAACAAGTATCGAAGCAGCAATCAGGGAATCAAGGATTAATGGGAAAATCGGCGGAGGTGACTCTAAACATGTTAAACGCACCCGAGTCGGAGGTGGACGTTGAAGGATTACCAGAAGAATGTCAAGTGAAACTTGAATTCGAGGGTGCAACTGAAGAGGTTGCTTCTTAATAAATTGAAATATTTCCAAACGCGTTCCTTCCGTTTTCGTTTAAGTCTACGATTCTTTTCACATAATGTACGCTTTTAGTTTTAAGTGATGATAAGTTATGTTTCTCAAGTAAATTCGTAAAAATCAATAATTCGACGTTTTCAATCTACTCCCTTATCGACCTCGTATGATACTCTCTGGGGGCGCCACAAACCAGGAGGTCAGCGAGAAGTTGTTGCGAGAAAAGCGTCAAGTTGTTACCAACAATTCTAATTGGCCGGACGCTTATGCGCTTGCTTAGCTTATTAAGTGAATAGAGTCTTTTTCGTCAATCATTTGGTACTTGCTTGTTTCGCAGCTTACGTTAGCTCGATGTGACGCATGCTGAGTGACAGATTAGCGATAGTGATGACGCGACTGGCAGCACACCCAATTCCAACTTGTTCGAGTTAGTTGATCAGCAGGGCTCACGAGCTGATCCGTGGCCGCAAATTTTTTCCTAAATCAAGTTCCAGCTGTGTTTTATAACGGATCGACTCGTGTGTGTTTGATCGATGTGTAATGATTAGTACGGTGAACACGACTGAACGTATACAATTCCAAGCACCTGTGGCTATGTTAGGCGTTTGTAAACATTGATATAATCTACACCACAACGCATTGTGACAATGGAAGGAGGCGTATTGGAAAGTCCACAGACTCCTCTGGACAGGAGTGACGATGAAATTGCTTTGCAAGGATTCTGCAGTCCTAAGAAGCTACCATATCGATTCGTCGGACTGGGTTTGATGTGTTTGTTAGGCTTTGGTACGATTGTCACTGTAATATTACCGTTGCAATGCGATTGACTAGCCATTGTTTACATGTATCGTCAATCACTTTGTTTCGATGCATTACGACCATGTTGATACTTTTCCAGTTATTTAGCATACTTAAGTAACGTCGATTTATTTTTATCGCATGATTATGTAAAGCTTTACACATTAGTTTTTTAACGCGATTACTTTTTCATAGTTAAACTGGTAAAAATAATTCCTGATATACCTATGTAAATAAAATTTTTTCAGAAATACACACGTTTGACTTTTAATAAACTCTTAAATTTAGAACTATAATTTTTGTTAGCTCAA